CAGCTGGAGTGCAGAGACAGAGGAATTCCTGCGGCAATTGTACACATTCACTGGCGACAGCGAGAGATAATATGGTGTATGTTGGATAGAACCGTATGAAAACCATTTGAAACAACAGCAAAAAAAAAAAAAACATCCATACTGTCATTGTTCTGAACTGTCAAAACGGAGTGTTTTATTCTGAAAATAAACCGGCTGTTTGAATGTTGTGTCGATGTCTGACTTCCCATCCCGCTCGATCTTTTCTGTGGTAAATTGATGCGCCGTGCTCCGGCTTCTGGCAACATAAAAAGTCTTGCGTCCCAGCTCTGTCAGTCCGGAGCTGGGACGCAAGACTTTTTATGTTGCCAGAAGAAAGCGCAGCAGAGCCAGTGGAAGCACACACATAGAATATGTGTGTGCGGAGATGGACCGAACACGCATCTGGTGGAATTTGGCCATAAGGTCTCGCGGATTCTACATTTTCTGAAACTTTTATTCATTTAAAGGAAGGTTTGTGCAAACGTTCCTTCACTGCATCGCAATGTTTTCCCCAACTGACAACAGCCCACACAGTCATATAGAATTCTGGTCCCCAAACAATGCTGTATTCTGCAGCATGAACGGTTAAATATGCCTTTCTCATGCACTTTAATTTATTCTCAGTGAATCTCCTGGCTTTCTCAGCCACCTCAGGATTTTAAACCAATCATGTTTCTGCCACAAGCAGAACCACACTGTTCAGTCTGCAGCAGTGACACGCATGTGGTGTTAAAGTTTTCTTATCCTTGAGCCTCATGTTGGTCCACACTTGGCTCTCTTTACTCAAATGATGTCATCACAGTTGGCCAGCAAGAAAAAGGTTACATCAGCGGGATACTTAGTGTTCTCATTTACCTTGTTTTAACTTGAAGAGCGTCTAACTGCAGACTTATTGGTGGAATTACAACCAGCGTTTAGGAAGTAGTTAAGTGTCTGACATGAGGGCACAACCTCAGCTCAAACTCAACACTTCAAGCTGAGACCTTATTTTCAAAATGAGTCTTTAAAAAAAAAAACGCTCTGAGGCAACACTAGTTTTTCCTTATTAAAAGACCAAAATAGGCGCACTGAAAACAAAGCCCGAGTCTAGATGAAGAGCACTGCCAAGGCGAACCGCAACTGAGACAGAACAGGAGAGAAAGAGAGACGGAGACAGAGGCTGACTCCTGCTCGGGACGCGAGTGGGTGGGTGGGTTTTTTCGGAGCTGACGGCGAGACACCAGACTACAAGAATCCGTGTCAAGTGAACAGGCAAGCAAGTGTTTCACGGCAGTCCTCGATACAACTGAACAGCTAGATGAAATGTCAGGCTGTCAAAACATTGATCAGCGTTCTTCAGGTTTGAAGCACTTGGCAGGCTGCAGCTGTGCCGGCGCACAGTAAACAGCAGTTAAGACTGTTTAACTTGTTAGCTCGCCGAGTAACAAAAAAAGCTAATTACTCAGACACATGTAATTGTTCTTTGTCCTGTACTTACTTGCAGTATTAGCTCACTGCTTCACAAACAGAATGGAAGTGAAATACACTAATAACCTAACTGCTTTTTTTGTGAATCATCCACAGAGAGTTTGGAGCTGCAGGTGTCCCTGAATTTAAGCTGTAACTTCTTTCAGACTTAACTATTTTAAAATGATTCAAAGAGAGATCTGATTTTTCCAAGTCAAATTGTGTCACTTTCAAACAGCCGTATTGCCACATGGTTGCTTGATTTTCTGTGGCCACAAATGTTATTCAGCAGCCAACAAACATGAGGCTACAGGTGGCCCACTGAAGCCACAAAGCAGTGCACCCTTCACCCTCCTGTGCGAGGCGTTTCTAGTCGCTTGTGAAACACACTGAAAGTATTTTTGCGGCCTCAATATTACTCACAAAAACAAAGTAAAACATCAGCATTTGTCTTTTCATTCCTGAAGCTTCTTCTGAGGTGTTAAGGTGTCAGATCAGATGATCAGCACATCACAGAATCAGACTGTTTTTTTTTTTTGTTGTTTTTTTAATTTATTTGGCACGGTAAAGATGAGCAAGACACGTAACTGTTATGAGTCAGAAAGTAAATAAGAGATCCTGCTTTGTCCACAGGTGGCGCCAAAACTGGCCCAAAGTGAAAGTCTATCACAGGAGCTTTTTACTGTTTCCACAAACAGCCCTATCCCTGCTAGACGCCTGGTCCAGACCTTTGGATTCCTGGAAAAATAAATGAATGGGGGGGGGACTGAGAGGTTATAAATATTAACCATATGTTTATGTTCCCAAAGTATAAAAAGTTTGAAATTTGAATAGATTAATATAACAATGTTTTCATTTGTTTATGACCCTTTTATGAAATAAACTGTCATGGACTGTCATTTTGTGTCATTTTGTGACAGTCCATCTTATCTCTTTGCAGTACATGCATGTGTATTTTGGAACAGGTGTGAGTCGTCACAGTACACGGGCAAATCAAGCTTAAGCGCGGTCCGGGACAACTTGGGCCTAGTTTGAGTGCACCCAAAAACAACTCAAGACAAATCCTCAACTTTCTCGCTGATGGTCTGGCTTTAAATCAGATATAGGCATCTGTATTTATTTAAGTAAGTTTCATAACAAGCTAAAAACACGTGTATTAAGTTACATTAAGTCGACATTTCTGAATTCTCTTTACATAACTTTATATTTCGGCTATCCAAATCCACGTTGGCCTCTGACTTTATTGGACGAGTGTTTCAAATATTAGCATCTTAATCTATTGTTTCTACTTTGCAGAGTGTAATCTCTCCATTCTGTCTCCTTGTTTGCTTTAGGGCAGAAACATACTGTTCCATATAAACACGCTTCCTCATGTTTAGCTGCACTTCTCGGCCACACGGGCTGTCAGTGCATGTGTTCGCCTTTCTGTTTGTGTTTCAGTATCTCCCCCCCCCCGACATGTTTCCTGCATCATCTCCCTCACATTATGGCACAGAGATCCAGACCGTCCAGTCTCAGTGAGCGTACTTACAGCCTCTGAAAATAAAAGCCAAATTTGATTTCAAAGTGAGTGGAGCCTTTAGCCTGTTTAGTGAATCAGACACTCTTCTGTCTCGTCTCACAGCCCGGCTGGCTGGTTGCAGAGAGGCCCCAGGAGGGACGACAGAAGGAAAGAAAACTCACACATACACATACACACACATTAACACACACACACACACACACTCCTCCAAGTTTCAAACAGTTGCAGATGGCTTTAATTCCTTGCCCTCTTTCTTTCACAATTTATCAGGTAAACCCACTCTGAACGAGCGTGCCTTCTTTTTCATGCCTTGCCGCGGTGACTTAACGCTGCTTCAGTTCATCAGAAGGAGGAGAAGAAGAAACAAATTCAAACACCACTAATTAATGTGGAGTCGCTGACAAGTGTTGCTGCGGAAACAATTTCATTACATCACCAATTTAAATTACCGAGCAAAAGGAGACACTGGAGGGGTGCACCCATCCAAAATCTGTTTACACTCCAGGAGCACTCTCTAGACTGAGATACAGGGAGCGGACACAATAACACGAACACCTGCAATCCAGTGCAATACCCCTGCAATAACTACTGACTGTGTTCAACTTGTTTCATTTTGGTGAAGAGAGGGTCCAATTTGTGAGGAAAGAGAGCTTTTTAGGCATTTAACGGTGACTGTTTGATGCACTTTGTTGACAGCAAAATCACTTGTTCTTCTTAAGCTATGAGGTGCACATACGATCGGGTTTGGTTTACTATACAAGTTCGTTTTCAGGCGTCGGAAAAAAAAAAAAAACTTTACAGCTCCAAGGGATTGTTGGTTTGCTCCTAATCACTCTCCCTTTAACTTCAGCGCCTTACATACAAAAGTGAAGGTTCCTTTTCACCCTCTGCCAAAGTTTAGCTGTCCTGTAACAGGGTGCACCATAATGAAAGAGCGGCAGTCTCCACCTCCTCCTCCTCCTCCTCCTCCTCCTGTCAGGAGCCCCCTCTCTGCTGCGCTCTGCCCCGGCTGGCCTCACATCCAGATGGGAGGAATTTTTACGGGGAGGGTCCGCCAGACTTCAGGCATATAGGGGGCTGTGCTGAGTCAAGCAGCTCATCACACCCTGCTGCAGAGGGACTTCATGTAAAAGAAAATATGGCACTGCTGTAGGTCTCTATTCGGGGTTGGGATGTTAATCGAATATGCAACAATGCTGTGTGCAATGAGGGTTTCAATGGACTGTCACACCTGATGCATTGTCCTCTAGATTAACCCACATCATATTCATTGTGAAAATAACACATTACCCTATTTATGAAAAACCCCAAAGACTGCCCTGAAGGGCTCCTGAGGGTCTAAGAGACCTCATACTGGAAGCTACTGATCTTTGACTGATCCATGACAGGATCCAATCAACACTATCAGTGTTATCAGTGCACCTCAAGGTGCAAATGTCAATGAAACTGCATTGCATGGTGTTAAATAACAGTAACATATGTACATGCCTGCTAATTGCATTACAACAGGTAGCCTATAATAGCAACAAGCACAGTCACACCGCTGACTGTTAGCTAAGTGACATTTCTCATCAAACGAGCCATCAGCTGATCGACCAAGACTACAAACACACCACACACACAGACCTGGAATCACTGACTGACGAGCAAATTCCAGTGTCTACATAATGCATGCACCTATCTAGAAATAACCCTGCAGCCACATTGACTTTGACTATTTCGCTCCAGCGCAACTCGTCCACAAAAAGGCAGAAACATGGGATACACACAAGCCTGGACATACCGCCGCGTAAAGGCGCTCCGTTACCGCTCCCACAGCCACATTCTGCCCCCCCCCCACCACCACCCACCTCTAAACACGAGTTCATCAGCGGCTGTTAAAGGTTTCCAGGAGGTCACCCTATTGTTAGCAGGTAGTCTGTGTCCAGCGGGAGGCAAACCCCATCTTGAGTAGTCAAACGCGCATTCAAACCCCGCTTTGCAACATAAAATAACCAGGCGCGAAACTTACTTTGAGCCAGGAGTCAGTCGCGAATCCGCGTATTGTTCCTCCAAAACCTCGTGTTTACGTCGCTGCTCTCTCTTGCTCTCTGCACTTCACAAAGACGACGCGAGAGCCCCGGAGACGGTGTGAGTGACTGACTGAATCAACTACCGTAGAGCACGGCAAGTTGAAGTGTCAGATTACACTGGCTATTCAGTTACCAGAGAGAGCCGTGCTCCGCGGTCAGTGCGAAAACGCGGCCTAGATTCCCGCGGAAGGACACTTGAGCGTAAAGCTGTAAGTAGACGCTAATGGGCTGCTAACAGCACCTTTCACACTGAGGCGGAGTGCAGACAACTCCAGGTATTTTGTGGTTGTGAATCATGACAGCAGTGTGCAAACAACATATGCAGCCGTGTGTTACTAAACCTGCATGCATTTAATTTAACAAATTTAATTTACTGATAAGAGGTTGTCAAAAGATATATTACTAAAATAGCCTTTTCCTTGTTTAAAATAAATCGCAAATTTTATTCATAAAAAAACTGAAGCACAAAACAAGTAGCCTAGACTTTAGCATTCATGTAAAAAAAAATATATATAAATATGTATAATCTATTTAAAATATAAAGAAAATAATTTTCATTTAGGGTTATTTAAAAATCCTTATAGTAATGTTGTTCAAAAAGGAAGGGGGGAAAGAGTCATCGTATTTCAAATTTGAGAGGCCTATTTTGTTGGATTAATGATTTAGGCAATTTATCAGAATTATTAAAGTATTTTTATTAGATAACTTTTTTATTTTAAGTTTAAGTTAGTAGAATAATTAAGTAGACTTAGCTCTAAAGTCTAAATCATGATAGCAGATCTTTTTTTAATTGATTGATGGGTGTTTTTTTTTTTAGATTTGTCATGTATTGGTAAAAATGATTAAATTAACAGAAAATAAGGAATAAAATGTAAAAAAAATGAATAAAAATAAATAAAAAAATCCTGGTTTTATTTACAATAATAATAATAATAAATTGAATTAGCCTATCTGATGCCATAATTTATAAGGCTTAGAATCTTTTCACATTCCTGGCTTATTTAAAATGACTACCACAACTCCCCCTTTTTTGTGTGTGTATGTGCCCAAGTGTGCGTTTGCCTGTGGTGTGTAAATACAGTGAACCCTTTTCAACCTCCGCCCCGCTCCAGCAGCTCCAGCAGGCGGGGGTGCTCCGTGTTTTGCGGGTGGCCGGTCTCCGGTGGAAGCCTCGGAATAACAAAGACGTGTTTGAGAGCAGCGGCAGGCTGGGCTGAGCGGTGACGTCAAGGAACAATGTCTCCCCTCCCGACACGCACACACGCACGCCAGAGCACACAAGCTCTTCCCTCTCTTCCTAGTCAGGCAAGGCTGAACTGCCCAGAGGGAGGGCCGCTCAACTCGCAGTGCATCAGATAGAATCACTCACTCCTCACGCTGCGCCTGCACACAGGATTTCTTCTACACTGTCTTTTTTTTTATTCTGAGAAAATAATGAAAAAGAATAATTGAATGGCAGATAAGCAACTGCAAATAAACAATCTCCTAAAAACAGCCAATTAGTCTGTGTTTGCACTTCACAAACATCTTATTTCCCCTTGCTGATAAAATTGAGATACTAAATTATCAATAAAAGGTGACAAGATTAGGCTTGCTGGATGGTAATTCATGATTTCCCGTCACATAATGTCATCAGTCCTGGGGGTCAAATTCCTGTCAGCGGCTCCTCCTGGCCCGGGCTGCTCTCCCCCTTTGAAGGGAAGGAAAGGGCTGCCATCCTTTTTAGCTTCCTGCCTGCAGGGCTCCTGACACTGATGCAGTGAGGGCCTGAGCAGGGTATCAGCAATGGGGGGGTGGGGGGGGGGGGGTGGGTGTGTGTCTCTATCACACAGTCTTCTCAAGGACGGATGCCCCAGCCCCCCTGGTTGAAAGGCAGCAAAGCTACCCGCACTGATGGGGGACAAATGCGGCTAGTGACATCACCGGCTCCGGCAGTCAGTCATTTTTATTTCGGGGGGAGACTGGTTTCTTAGATGGTGATGGGGTGAGCAGTCAATGTCACCGGGCTGTAGCTGTGAACTCATGATCAGATTCTTTTTTTTTCTCCCTCTGGAAATAGCTTGTCGAGATGACCCCTGTCTTTGTTCGGATAGCCTACTGCTTCTCTTATCTGTTATGTCTTCCACTTGCCATTTTGCAAAAGTGATACTGACTCCTAAATATAGGGGTTTCCCTAAGATCTCATTGACCATGCTATGTGCACAAGGTGACCCTCTTTCACCTTCTGTCCCAGCGGGGTGCAATGCTAAATGCAGTTAAAAGTCATACGGCTGTGTTCATTCATGGTGTGCTGCATCCTTTCGAAGGTCGCGACCCATTACGTCATTAGTTGCACGGAGAAGGTTGTCCCATTTCGAAAAAAAGCTCCTTCAGAGGCAGCCAATCATTTCCCATCTCTTTAAAACGAGGCTTGTTTACATCACCTGACAACCACAGAAGAACAAAGATATTCAGATACATTTCAAGTGTTGGGCACATGCGACCCTTGTACAGCACCTGCAACACTTTTTCAATCACTTGTCAGAACTTTTACTTTAAATGATGTTTAAATATATTCTTCCCCTTACACCGCTGCAAGGATGGAAGGATACAAAAGCACTGACAGTTTGATGTATTTTCTATGTGGCTGGGTCATTTGGGAGGTGAAGGACAAGACATTTTTTATCATTAACGCATCGATGAGTGCTAATTAGAATCTGCAAGTTAACATTACCTAATGTTGGTATCAGGATCAGTGTCAGCTGTCACTTTCAGTTAGTGCTCTGGGCAGTGATGTTCAAAAGGCAGGCCCCCATATCGCTTCACATTTTCACCCATTTTATTTTCTCAGTTTGTGATCAATCTTGGAGCAGTAGATAGTTTGTCATTTTTCAGAATCTCTAGGTATATGTAAGTCGCAACCTTGAAAAATATCAAAGCATTTCAGCTCGCATCCTCAGCATGACGTCAGGAGAAAATGGCAATCATATAATTAGTGTTATCAGCCACTTGTTGTCAGACACTATGGGTAATTCATTTTTTAATTGAAAGCTATTGTGATCAGATTTTGTCGCTATTTGTAAAACAGATTCAAATCAATATCTCTGTTATGAGCTACAAAAACAAACACAACCATCAGGAAGAATTTTTTTTTCCCCCAGAAAACATTCCCTACACATTCACAGACAAGATCATGAAAGAGATCAGTTGTCCCTGAGGCAGAGCCAGGATCAACGATAATGAACAATTCCCATTTGAACTTTAACAGTGTTCTCCCAAAGCTTAAGAAAGAACAACACCTGATAGAGTTTTGTTGGCTTTTACCACGTCAGTTTCACCATAATATTAATGTTCTGGATCATTAATCAAGTTTTTGTTTGATACCAACTTAAGGTGACAAGGCCTGTTACGGGTGTCGGGGGGGGGGGGGGGGGTGGGTCTTGCAGCCGGTCAGGTCACCCTGCAGTTCAAACAATGGGCTTGACAGAAGTCCTGGCTTTGATATCAGCGCGTGTGCCTCAGTCACAAAATAATACAGGCAGATGGCTGCCAAAAAGATGGATGGATTATAGGTGGGGTGACTCTAGCTAGACTTGGCTCCGTTTATAATTTCATACGGCGGCATTTCAAAGAGCCCAATGAATGCATCAAGGTGGAACAAAGAGCTCTCTCAATGAAGCATGCCTGAACAAGGTTAATACATATTGCATTGTGTTGGGGTGTGTTAAATCAACATATGAAAAACGGTTTAGACCTTACAACATGGGTGACGACCAAGGCCTTTGACTCGTTGCTGAAGCCCAGGATGATGTACGTCTCTCTCGGCCACCTTGCTGTAGGCTTTGTACTGGCGACAAGGCTTCTCTCTGTAGCTGCAGCAGGGGGAGTGATGGATGCTGCCGCGGCCTCATGTAGCTACATGATGGAGGGAGACTCTCAGTTGTGCTGACATCAGCTCTCCCCTCCACAGAGAGAGGTGTGATGGTTGTTTACAGTGCCACCCTGCTGTCAAATACACAACACTGATATACTAATAAACAAGTTCTATCATCAGCACATGAGCGATTTACAGAATTACTGATTCTTCTTTCACACTGAAAAAATATTTGTTTTTATGCTGGCGTAAAGAGTGACTGTTTGCAGAGACTCTGCTAATAAACATGTTTTTATGTATTTCTAATTTACAGCACGGTTACTGTTTTATATAAAAGGGTCAAACTTCTATTACTATAGTAAACCCGTGTGAGTCATGTAGCTGCGGAAAATATAGTAATGTTGAGAAACCTGCTACAGTTTGTGCAGCATTTTAGGCTTAAATTTTATAGTGTAAATCAATGCATTAACCTAATGTATCGTAATAAAGAAGGTGCAGCCAATGGAGTTATATCAGACTTCATTATCACTGTCTATGACTTAATAGCAGTGAAATTCCTGAACCCAAGGTCCTATAGTGATTTTAGTAGCGGTGATTTTACCATTGGAAACCTTCAGCCTTGAGTATGGATGCAGCAGAATCTGTTTTTGACGAATGTATGTCTTTATTGTTTAATTATCAATCAACTGTTGGGTTAAAGACAGATGGACATTAAATGCTACAGGAGAAATAATGAAAGATAAAATAAAAATGTTGTACTAGATTGAGGAGAAAGGTATTTGAGTTTTATATTGTTTGTGTTTTGTTTTTTTAAATAGTTAACTTATTTCAATTAAGAGAAAGATACATTAAAACCCATGCATTACTTGTTTGAATTGATGTGTTGGGTTAATATGTCTTCATTGAGATTGTGATTGCAGAAAAAGGGTTCAGGAAAAAGATACAAACGCTCATCACAGATTTCCAGAGCCCAGGGTTCCTGTTTTGAAATGCTGTTTTTTTTTGTCTCTACAGCAGTAGCATTTGCTTCTTCAGCAACTTAAACAATTAATGAAATAAAACAATTTGTTTTCTATTCATTATCCTTAACCTTGTGTTGATTTGCAACAACCCGGTAGGCTATAAATGCAAGGACAAGGTCAATAGTCTGTTCCGCATGGTTAAATTGGGGTTGCCCAAGTCTTGTGTTTTTGTGATCGACGAAGGGTCCAAAACAAGACGAGGGGAAAAGAGGCA